TAAGAATGGAAAAAGGGTGTGGTCACAAGAATCTTCAGCTCGCTTCGCTCGCAGGAGGCCTCATATTTTATGTTACCTTCGAATTTTTCGGTGGCCCTGGCTGGAGCTTCCCCAATGCCATGGCTGCCCTTACTGTCCTAACATGCCATACGGAAGTTCCTTCGGAGAAAAATGTTTCACCATTCCGAAAAGGGGCAAAGAGTAAGAGTGAACTAAGCTCCACAATCTCACAGTAGCGCGTTGTTGCCTTTTGTTTGATGGCCGCAGATTTTGATGTCCAGGGAGTTTCAGACATCAATAAAATCATCGAATAGTTTTCAGCTTTTAAGTAAAGACGAAAGACATTAGCGTCATGAACCAAGGGCACGGGTTTAGTTTTATTGGAAATGTACCGAAAGGCGAGATGCATACAAGTTTATTCGTGTCTTATAGCGTCTATCTGTGACACAATTTTGTCGGTGTATTTTGAAGGACCCCAGTCAGCTTTGGGCCCAGGGGCCCAACAGACGTAAACGCGGCCCTGTTCTGTAGAAGTTCAAAGTAAAGTGCATCAAGAAGATTAGCCGGTTTTATTCAACAGAATCTGTTGAATGCAAAGGACGGTGTCTTACAATAAGTAGAACTACAAACTTCTCTTCTGGATAAAGACCAAAGGTTCTCTTCTTCAGTTGCAGATGTTGCCTAGCGTCTTAAAATCTGCTCACGTCAGCAGTAATGTCACTGTTACTCCGAGTAGAGTTCTGCAAACCTCCTACTTAACCTAACACAGTTAGTCTCGATTTGAAGTGGAGGTGAATTTTGACAGAATTTTGCAAGCAATGAGGACTTAGCGTTAAGCGCTCCGATTTTGGTAAACCAGAATTCTTTGTTATGAAATCATTTACCGTAATTCTGACAAAAGCTTCCCTTAGATAACGTTAAGATGTGTGTTGCTTCTATAACTGGTCTTTCTGGAGAAGAAATTTGTATCATAGGTCAATGACTTGAAACACCTTTTGTCCTACATTGTAATTTGGTGGGTATACTTACATAATCTAAATTAAATTTGATTGCATTTCAATTGCGCACTGACTCAGTTGCTGCTAGTTTTTGGAATGGAAAGACAGTCAACTCTATGTTATGCTCTTGAGGGATTATAAAAATGTTCGAATAACAACATGTTCGGTTTATATAAGCTTCTCAAAAAATCTTTTATTTTGCCTCTGTTATCCCTAAACCTCAGTTTTATCGCTATTGTCGCAACTTGCAAAGGACCATATTGACTATACAGCACAGAGAAGATCAAGATTCCTCGAACTTGATTGTCCCATCTACCAAATAAAAATTGAAGGAAGTGACTTTAATAGTAGCCAAAATTGGTCGAATTACTGAAAGTTCTAATTATAGAAATTCCAATTACAGAATGTTTTTGTAAGGGTTTTACAGGATTATCAAGGGACCTGAGTTTTTTTAGGAATTAGAAAAAGTTCAAGTTTCACGAGTTTGAATTAGACAGAGTTGACTTTATTGACTACAAGCACGGGTATGTGCACAGGGTACTGGTTTGTTTTTCTATTCATACGGGATCACAATCGCTCTGTTCCATTTGGAAAGCGAAATCAAACAGAGTTTAGCAGTTCGCATATCCATAATGGCAGATTGTCTGATCAACAGTGCAGGGCGTTGCAGATGTGAGATCCTACTACATGATAGGTGAGATATCACTGAGGTGGGAGGAGTTTTTTTCCATACAAACGCTGGAAGGTGGGATGAAACTGTAAAAAGGAATGAAATGTTCATATAAGCGTGATCAAATTTCGTCCACACAGGCTTGGATGATATTTTCCATTTACAGCTGGAATAGAATTTCAAGTAAACATTCGATGATTTCATCCCACCTGCCAGATTATGGCCTGTGAGATGGGATAAATTTGCCCATATAAACAGGCACTTAATATGGATCTTGCCTGATTACTATTGCTTCATTGAGAAGGAACCGCTAGAAATTTCAGTTATTGTTCTGATGAAGCCCCGTATGCCGGGGCGAAATATTGGCCTTCACTAATTTTCGCGTATTTATTGTTGTTCATTCTCGTCGCATTGCGGTGTTTCTTATTTGCTACATTGCTATAGTTTTAAATAGCCTTTTGTGGATATTTTGTACACACCACCTTAAAATATAAAATAAAAATGACGATGGATTCTCCTCTTTATAATTATTCGCAAAGTTTTTGACATTAAAGAAAAACTGTTTTTAAAGATCTCTACATGTGTAAAACCAGTTAATGTGTTAAAATCTGGCTGTGATATGGCAACATGAGCGCAAGCTCTGTCCCGCTAAATCGTTGTATCTTTGTCCCCGAACCATGTCAAAAGAGCAGAATTCTGTAGCAAATTTCTGAAACGTTACACCGTTCATTGGTCATACCAAGCAGGGCTATGGCTGCGAAAATCTGATTTCTCACCTAACCGATATAATTTTGATGGTTTTATATACTTTCGAGCATGAAGATTCAGAATCCAAGATGGGACCAAAAAAAATTTGCCTCAGTATCACGTGACTGGTGACGTCATCAATAACGGCAAAACAGTCATAAATCCGCTATTTATTCAAAAATAAATTGCACAATTCAACAACTGTAGGTCGTGGCTTCACCAAGCAAGGGGAGACCCACATTATGCCAAAACCTTAGATACCCCTAGATTAACCAGGGGAATGAAAACGCCAAGAAACACAAATCTTACCCTAGTTTCACAAATCAGATTCCCCGCATTGCCCATAAACTGGTGGAGCAGATGCAAGAAATAACGTATAAGAAATAATAACAATCTCAAGTGAATTAGTTAAAGCTCAAAAGCCTCTGTGAAATTAACTCTGATGAAATTTCATTTAATCATCATTTTAACTAGATAATCCTGTTTCAATGCTTGTAAAAAAGCTTGCCGAGACCAGGTGTGATCAGGTAAAGAGTCGCTCTCTAAATAAACCGCCTTGTCGGTCGCTACCCGCAAATCCTAAATGTTTCGAAGGTTTCAAAAAGTTTCGAAACTAAGCAAGGGAAAAGGTAAAAGCTACGTGAGTTAGGTAAAAGCGAATATAATGGATGAAGATCACTTATTCAAATAAATAAAGTAAAAGGGAGATTTGAAGGATCTGCTTCTTGCATAGTCACTCCTTCTCTCTCCGTTCCTGTCCTCTATTTCTCTGACACACAACGAGGCTTTCGACAAAAAGAAATTATCATTGAAATCCTTGTCAAAAAGGGCTTAAACTCATAGCTATCCTCTGCTAAGTGTTTTTGATCCATTTGAATCCCGTCTACAGCGTTTATTATCCTACTGGCGAAGTTTGACATCATAGGTAGTATCAGTAGTTTGACAGGGAGATAACGTTTCTTTACCTGTTCATTTTAACATGTCATGTAAAAAAAAGAGAAAAATCATCCAGAATGTGAGCACAAACTGTTTAGAAAATCCTTTCTTTAAAATTACCTTATGTCAAAGCTAAAAAGACCTTATGTCAAAGCTTTGCTTGCCAGCTCTCTTAAAATCATTGCAAATGCAGAAAATTGCTCATTTTTTGAAATGGTAAGAGTTTTGAAGATAATTGAGTCTATGTTTTGGGCCCCAAAATTCCACAAACAACTTTTCGTACAAAGTCAGTATGTGAAAAATTAGCCTCTAGAAACACAACAATCAAAACAAACTTTAAGGCCTAACAACTAGCTTTCGCTTTGCTATTGGAAAACAATTGACATGGCTATCGCTTAGCATTAAGCATTTCTCTTTTAATTATGCATAATTTTTCATTCTAGGTATTGGCTTTTCAAAAAAAGAGAGATCGAAAGTATCCATGAAACAATATCAGGATATTTTTTGGCGGAACAGTTCACTTTCAAACAGCAGACAAAAGGAGTCTTTGAACTGCAAAGCAAGCGAGTTCTACGCTTGCTGGCCAGTCACTCTTGCTATTTTTCTTTTTATCATGTTTTTGTACTTCATTTCTTGGCAAATAAGTCGCCGTTGCCGCCGTAACCCAGGGCGCCTTGGAAATTCTGTTGAGGACTGTTGCTAGTTTTGTCTGGCTAGACATTTATGTTGTATCAAAATCGACATTGATCACGTGTCATATGCATAAAGTCTGGTGGTGCAGTACAAATATAATAGCTGGTGCTTAAGATTCCTTGGCAAAAAACAAGCAGAAGTACCCTAAAAACTCTTTATACGTATTTTGATAAGAAACTATACAGCGGCCTTAGAATTTCAACTTCTTAATTTTTGGGCACTTTGGAACTCATAGTTCCTTACTTAGTTTTTGATTGAGAACAGCTTTGATAAAGGCCCTGAATTGTGTTTTAGGCGTAATCTTCTAAAGTTTTGCGAGTTTAACCTCAAAAAGGAGCAAATTGGATGCTATTTACATTCTTTAAGTGTAATTTATATTTGCTGTCATCATCGAATTTAACTATGTTCTTCGCATAACTTTCTAGCACCAAGAATGTTGTCTGATAAGCCACAATATTCTGAATTATGTCAATGTTTGTCTCTCCCTCTCCCCCTTTCCCCCTCTTTCCTTGATCTCTAATCCCACGACGCTCTAGTCTATGTATAAATTAGTGTTGTGAATAAAGTTCTATTAGAAAAAACTAACATGCTAGCGAACATTAGATATTGCATGGTTGATCGAATTCTAATCCGCCCTTCGTCTATTCCATTCATTAATCAACTTGTAACTTCGCGAACTCATTCTAGAAGATTTTACCGTTTCTTTCTTCAGAATCTATGAATAACATTGCATAATATTGTATCAAAAGAAATAATTTGATTTTTAAAAAGTTAACAGTGTAGAAATTATTCGACGTTTTCTCCAAGGGGATCAACTTGCACTTATATTATGTTATGGAGAGTGTCTCCTTTATTTCCCTTTTTTGATTCTGTGTTACAGTTTTTGAAACAAAAATTTTCAAAAGAAGATAAAAACAGACTCAATAAAGAGAACTATTTCAACAATAGTTCTTATTACACCAAGCAGCGTATATTATAGATTATACGTGACGTCAACAACACTAATAGCATCAACGCCACAAAAATGTAAAAGTAACTCATAAAACCCATTTTTTCGTTCAACGATTAAACTGAGTTTGCGATTTAAATTTCACGTTGTGTTTTTGCAATTTTCGGCTTCCTAAAGTAACCAAAAGATATCAAGTTTTCAAATCCAATAAAACCTTTGACATTTGATTCAAGATTTGTCTCTCCAGATATCTTTAACCGAGTAATTTCATTTTACTTCTAAATAAGAATGTTTTCATAAAAGCCTGTAGGCAAAAAGGTTGAAAGAACAACCAAGCGAAGTAAAAAGTATAAGAAGCTCTCACTCGAAGCTAGTTGTGTCTTCCAATGAAATAAACCAAGTTTATAATATTACAACTTAACAAACCTTTTCTAATACCAAATCTTATTTTTGCAGAGAAAATAAGCATATGACTTTTAAGATTGAAATCAGTGAACCAAGTAGTTGATGACAGCAAGTATACTCGTATGTATTGGTTCAATATAACGAGTTTTATATTTTCCTTCCAATATTACATGATTAAACTTGCAGATGTTGCTTCAGTCAAGTTGAAAGACTTTCCTGATTTTGACTGGAAGAATTCTCAGAGCAGCATCGCGAATATCTTTGGCTCTCAGGCAATAAATAACAGGATTCAGAGTGCTATTAAAGTACATTATCAAATCTGCCCACGGATCTGCTATGTAGACGAGCTCAAATGTATCCCCCATAATGCCTCGAAGTGTGTATATTATCATCAATGGTCCGTAACAAAAGATAGTGGTGACAACAACCATGACAACTGTGTTGGTCTTCTGTCGTTCACTCATTCGATAAGGAGACTGACTCTGATCGGAATCTGGAGTTCTTGTAGAGAAAAGGCGAGATCTGCGGCTAAAAAATGGCGAATTCTTCATGACCTCAGGGCTAACCGCCGATATGTTTCTTCTGCGGTGCAGTCTCATTTTGTGGCTGTTAACAACTTTAGAAATTTTTATGTAGCAGATCACAAAAATTACTATGTTTACAGCTAGAAAAGAGCAGGCAATTATGAAAAATTTCGAACCAGAAATAATGTTGAGAAATGGCAACAACGAGTACATGGCGAGAAGCAGCCATACTATTGCTAGAAGAATAAAATATTTTGTTGTGGAAATGTTCCTTTGATACCTAAATGGCATCATGATTGCATAATACCGGTCGATGCTTATCAAACCAATTGTCACCACTGACACAATCACGGTCAGGTATGAGAAATAGGCACATACAATTCGAATGATGCATATTCCACTGCCGTATGCCTCTGTGATGCGCCTAATAGAGACAGTTGGAACAACGATAAAGCCAGTGAGAAAATCCGTCAAACACAGACTGCCAAGCAAGACGTTCGATGGTGTCCTCAAACGCTCATGTTTAAACAGTACGAACAGAACAAGAGCGTTTCCCAAAATCGACCCGATGGATGATATGCTCCCAATCACAGTTGTTGCTATGGCAGTGACTTGAATGCCTATCTCGTGGTTGGAGCTGTGAAGCGTCGAAAACAAACATTGTTGAATAGTTCCATTAGCCATCTTCTGAAGTAAAGGCGGATAATAATCAATTTCTTCCAATTTGGAGGAATGATTTAATCTTTGAAGCAATTTTTTCAAATCTCCAATGACCCACTGTTAATTCTCAGCAACCTACAAAACATTATCAAATTTATTCGTCCCTATTCTTCTCGCATTTATACTTCGTCACTTACTCATCTATACTTTGTCAGTTCGATTACTGACCTCTTCTCTGGTTATCCTGCAGTAACGAAAGCCAAAAGGAACTCAAAAAGGTAAATAAAACGGTCATACATTTGGCATTCTCAGATTTTTCTTCATTATATCAAAATCTTTTAACCAAAGCTGAACCTACTACGATCTATATTCATTCTATTAAGCTTTTTTCACTTGAAGTATAGAAAATTTTTCGCATCTTTAATTCAGCCTTTATAAAAAGCTATTTCCTAAAACATCCATTTAATTTTTTATTCGAAAAATACCTTCCTTTTTTCCTAACTTCAAAACTAGAAGATATGACATAGAATCTATATATTTCAAGGTACAAAGATTTTGACGTAACGATTTGGTTGTATTCTATTTGTTGATTGCAGTATATGCAGTGATTATGAAGCAGAGAGTTTTATTCTCAAATGCTTTATTCTGCATGAGCTAAAGTAACTAATTTTGTTATCCTGCATAGCCTAATTACATAGTAACAAATGTAGCTTAACTCACGAGGCAATAATTTGTCCTGCAGCGAAGCAATATGAAACTTTACACTGAAGTTTATACAGAAATTGATTAGCGTTATTTTTGACAGATGGAATGTTCCCAGATCAATTTGTGGAGATAGTGGCTGTTACCAATGTTTTTAACATTAAATGCGCGTGGTAGCTACATACCGTGAACCTGAAGGACTCTCTCCCGTGCGCCTGTGATGTGTTCTACCTCATCAAAGTGTGTGATCATGTTTTCTAATTAATATTTCCCTTGCAGCAATTAGATTCCAATTGTTGATGCAATCAATTTTGAAAATTTTAAGCTGCAATAGAATTTACTTGAACGGCTAAACTTTTTGTTGACCCGTTGATTAGAATGCTAAATGAAAACTTAATTTGCAAAGACTCCGTCATGGTTTATTCACTTTTCCCATTACAAAAAACGTAAATGGCAGTCGTATGTTTGCATCTTGATCAAACCTGCAGGAGCAAGGAGAACGGCATTGAAGAAGCTTGTTGGGTGTTTACAGAGTAATCGTGGATCGTGGACCGCTGGATTACAGGAGCTTCAGACACTAAACATCCCTTGCCAGTTGCAGGTATGATAAACGAGGAGGATATACCCAAATACGCTGAGTCACGATTTTCATGCTGAAATGTGCAATGCTATTGGTCGGCCTGATACTGATTACATAAACCCGCCTCGTAATGATTCACAAAACAGCTTCCGTCATTCCGTCAATAGCAAGTTGTCAACAACAGATGCTGATATCACATGAATCTAGAGAATGGCCTATTTGCCATGACTCAATGCCTTTAACCATCCTGGTCATTTTCTACTACACGTTTGTTATAAGAACACTTGACTCCAGTTTCAGCCTGGAGTTTTTTATCTTTAGCATTGTTACAACCTCACATGTTTCTAATTTTTTTCGTACTTTTTAATCGAATACTCTGTGGATAGTAGTGTCCGGACACAATATATGCTTGATAAGGTAATTAAAGTCCCTGTCCGAGTTTTTGCACTTGTACCTGCAGTTTTATATTCAGCAAAGGAAATAGATTTGATATGATGACGTAAGTTTGTTATGGTAACTTAGCAAATTGCAATCAGCCCATTCCATGAAATAAGCCCAATAAACATGAAAAGGCTTATCGCTTTTCTGGTGTTCTATTGCAATTTTTTTATTTTAAAAATTTGCTGGTATTTTTTTTCTTGAGGTTTGTTGAATCTAACTCCGCCTTGTTTCTTATGTTGTTCTTATTATTGGCAAATATCAGCTTGATGTTTCTTATAAGGGTTGTTCTTATAAAAAACGTGTACACTCTTTTTTATAAGAACCAGTAAATTTAAGTTCAGGCTGATTGTTCTTATTTTTTTAGAAAATCTGAGGCTAGATTGTTCTTAACTTGTTCTTCAATTAATAGGGTGTAAGCAGTGTGATTGCTAGCTTTTTCGCTCTAGGGAAGTGTTCAGTTCTCATGTGCGTCATGTGTCCAAAAATCTCAACGAGGTACTTAGATCTGTTCGTCTACTCAATTCTGCAATTGTTGCAAATAATACAGTATTTCTTTGATTCTTTCAATAAAAACAATCTACTCGCTGCTGTTTATTGTTCAGCAATTCCTAACATTTTCAACTTAAACAGCTTTATTAAAATATCCTAAACGAGCCCTTGGCTGAGCAAAAATAATGGATATTTACATGCTATTCATAATATTAAAAAAACCTGAAGTTAAAGATATTTGAAGAAGGCACTTATTAACTATACTTGCATAGAAATGAAGCTAGGGGGTATGTACTGTTGAATGGTCCTGAGGGTTTTGACGAAATGTGTCGATGACAGCCTTTCCTTAAAGAACGAAATAAGCAAACAAATGTTCATTGATAAGAATAATAGTCAATACCAAAGCAACATGGCGACGAGAATCCAATGTAGTCAAACAGAATTTTAAAATGAATTTAATTCAATTAATACAAATAATTCGCCACTGCATACAGGGCTTCATATTCATAAGTATAGCTTTCGATAAAGAATTCTTTGGTTCCAAAATATAAACGGTCGAGGTTTTGAATACAACCCTAGAAACTTTAATAGCTGTGGCTAATTCATCAATCAGGCCATTTTAAATAGTTTCCTTAATTACTTACATCGTGATTCTTTTTATGTAAACAGGAGAACGGATTTCAAGCCAGTATTCTTAGATTCAAACAACAAACAAATATGCAACAAACAACTCTATAAAAAGAACAACCGTCACGTTAGGAGGGTGTCCCATATTTGAAGTTGCTTCTACAAGGCTTTTATCTAAAGGAATATTACTAGGATGTTACTGATAACCGTTATTTGCGGTTACTTGGTATTGGGGGCACATCAATTGGAACTGTATTGAAGACATTTTACAAAGCGTATCTATGCGTCTGCACGCAGATATGAATGTATTAATATTAAAAAGTCGTTTATCAGCAATGGCTATATTCACGATACCTAAGAAGATATTGAAGTTTTAGATTGTCATACAGTATGTTATAAAGAACAAGACGCGATTTACATCGGATTTTTAAAGTACTGATCTAAAATGTTTAGGGATGTCAAATACTAATCGTTCTATTGAACAGTCTTCTCGCTTTGTTTGGAAGAGCTCCCAGCACTGCTTCGTTAATATCCCTGGCTCGGAAGCAGTAGATAACCGGGTTTATGCTGCTGTTCAAGTATAAGATGAGATCAGCCCATGGATCTGCAATATATATTAGTTCAAAAGTATCCCCTTGGATTCCACGAAGCACGAAAATCATAGCAAGTGGACCGTAACAAATGACGGAAGTTGCTAGAATAATGGCAATGGTATTGGTTCTCTTACGCTCCGAATTCCGATGGTTGCCCGATTCTCCACCCAATGTAGCTGCAGTTCCGTCTTGTTGTTGTAATTCGCTAGCACGATAACTGCTTGGTCTTGGATAAATCTTGCTCCGATGACGCTTCACTACTTTCGAAATCCTGGTATACAAAGCTGCGAACATGATGATGGTCACGCCCATTAGGCTGAAGGCTATTTTGAAAAAAGTTGTACCACTTAGGATCTGGAGAAATGGCAAAGAAGAGTGCACTGCAAGTATCAACCAAACTAAAGTGAGAAAAGCAAAATATTTTCTTGCAGTAACATTTCTTTCATAACTAAATGGCATCATGATTGCATAATACCGGTCGATGCTTATCAAACCAATTGTCACTACTGACACAATCACGGTCAGGTATGAGAAATAAGCACATACAATTCGTATGATGCATATTCCACTGCCGTATGCCTCGGTGATGCGCCTAACGGAGATTGTTGGAACAACGATAAAGCCAGTGAGAAAATCCGTCAAACACAGACTGCCAAGCAAGACGTTCGATGGTGTCCTCAAGCGTTCATGTTTAAACAGCACGAACAGAACAAGAGCGTTTCCCAAAATCGACCCGATGGATGATATGCTCCCAATCACAGTTGTTGCTATGGCAGTGAATTTCACAGATGGATATCCACTCACATCACTAATAGTCAGAAACAGGCATTGTGTACCATTTTCTGTCATGTCTACAACGTCACTCGTACAACCTTGGATGTGAAGTTACCTTCTTCTTGAATCTAAAAATTCGTAGATAGCACAGGTTTAAGTTTGATCATGAAAACGTAAATTTTGTGAAGAAAGGTAGAGCAGATTTTGTGAAGAAATTAAAAGCAATTTTCAAATGTACACTGTTTTACAGCTGTTGACATACTTTTCCAACCGTCTGCCCACTTTGTAAGCTGAATTGGCAAACGGCTGTAGATTCTAATAAAGAGGCTACTTCGAATAATTGTCTTCGTGAATTTGCTTCATAAAGGTTAAAAATTACATTTATAATTATTTAGCCAAACTTATTAATTCCAAGAACATTTCGAAAGCCGTTTAATTAAGATTCTCCGTAGCATTTGGCATTTGAGGAAATACTTGTAAAGCTTTAATTTAACTTCTTCTTGAAATTTTTTAATTTAACTATCAGAACCTACATTTCCTTGTCTAGCTGACAAAATACAAAATCGAATAACTATTACGCTAAAGGACTGAATAATAAAAATTTCGCATTTGAAATACAAACTGCTCCTGCTTTATTTATTTACTTGCTAGGACGCAGAAGCATGCTAGATTCTTTCAATACATTTAAAACCTAGAAATCAAGGAAGTAACATATCTTATAATACAAATGATGTGATTCCGAACTATTGCTAGCAAAATCATGTTTGACTTCAAAAATTTATGTCAATTTGCTTGAACAAGAAGAAAATTTCTTATAAAGATAAGAAATTAAACATTTTCGCTTGTGGTTTTACCAAACATAATAGTTATGAAACAGAATTCGAGAAAGCAGTTTTGAATACTTACCCTTACGTGCTTCGCAAACGATCAAGTTCTGTGCTCTGCAACATTCATTTGGCTGCGTCGTATCTCCTTTCTAACACAACGATCGCGCTTCTTTCACTTGCAATACTTTAACAATTCTTCATTCTTTGTTATCTTAACTTCCCGTTTCGGCTAAAAGAAGAACATATGTTTTAAAGCAAAAGAAATCAAACAATTACCGGTAAGCGGAAAAATTAATCATTTTCTTTGCAGATGGCCATTATATTCATAAAAAATTAACAATGTAGTATAAGGAATCAGCTTTGTGTATGCAAAATAAGGACGCCATAGTATCTCAAAACTAGCTGTCTCCGTGTTGTTTGAAATGCCGAATAAGCTTCAAAGTTGCGCAGCATAAATCAGGATGGCATAAAAATGGAACCATTTTGACACTTTAAGTCGGTATTGGCTCACCTTTTGGTCCTTTGGTCAAAGTGTTCAATAGTCTTGTCTTTTTGTGCAATCGTGCTATTTTATACAGTACGGAAAACCTATTTTCTCACAAATCTTCTTAATGCACAATGCTGATATATCAAAATGCTTCAATATGATTTTCTGAACAGACTGAGCTATAGAAATTGATGTATAGCAAATACAAGCTGGTATCGAAACAGAGCTTAAATGCTTAATTAGATTATGCGGAATTATTAGGATTGAAAGCTCGATTAGTGAAGATTTTACGGGATTAAAAGGATAAAACCTCGATAGTTGCAAATCTCGATTCAATGGGTACAGGAATACGAGGGAGAATATATCTAAAAACACTAAACCAGCGATCTATACCAGATACAAAGCCTTGTGTATGAATGAGTTATTGAAAGATAGATTTAGCTTTACCAAAAATGTGACCATCATTATTATTTACTACAAAATACTACTACTATTTAAACTAAACCTGTTTAAAAACATTAGAGAACTTGGATCGTGATCTACGAGTAACAAAGCTATTTCCAGCCTCAAAGTAACTCATATTGAAATATCTTATAGTTGTCGTAACAACGATTTTCACACCCTGCATCTGTAACTTAAAAACGCGAACGTGCTCAACGTGAAAACATACAAGCAATATGCTTCTTGAGTGAAGTTGATATAAACACTTGAACCTGGGATTGCATCGTATCGAAGCTGAAACCTACTTACCTTGACGGTTGCGTACCAGTATGATTATCATTTACGTGGGTTATTTCCAACCTGTAACGATTTGCTGGTGGCTCGATCCATTATTCATCAATAATACTAATCAGCAATTAGCAAACTTGTGAAATTTATAAAAGGGCAGCCAAAGCAAACATTTAACTCATCTCCTGTACAGGGGTTGTAAACATTTCGCAATCTAACTGGTACAGTTGTCAATACGCACTATAGGTTTGCTAATTGATAACTGAACCAATAGACCCTCTTTCTCTCAGAAATTCTCTCTTCCTCTTTCTGTGCGACACCAGAAGAAAAGAAAGACCTAAACCATGAGTTACTTGAATTCAAACTTCTTTTTTGAATATTTTTCAAATCATTATTCAAACAAATATTCAAGTAAAAATATTCAAACAAAAGGATGAAAAGATCAAAAAATTCTTCTTTGAAAAACTCTCATTAGAATACATACAGAAACAACCGAAAAGCGTTGCTGTGGTTACCGTTAAAGAAGTATTGTTCTTACTGAATATTCCTTCCTACATGCTGCTTTGAATTTTTTTGCTAAGATAAGACAATGGTACATTTCAAACCTACAATTGTCACTCAAAGTGCAACATGTAACAGTAGATTTATAAGAAAAAGCAAATCTTGAAAAACGTGTTGGTTTTCTATTTTATATCTGATTATATATCTTGTTTTGATGCGTATTTGCATGTATCGTCATTTAGATAGGACGACTTTTTTTTATTCTCTAATATGTTATTACTGTATTGTAAAAAGCATAATTGACACCTGAATGCAATGTGAACTAACACGGAAGACTCTTTCCCAGGTTCAACTAAAGGCCGCATACTGTGCATAGTACGTGCATATCTATTCAGCTTTATAAAATTAAAAGTTATTTGACGTTGGCCTTTGTGATATCAAATTTTAGTTTGAGAAACATGTATTCTATGAAGAATTACAAATTTTAGGGGATCTTAAAAATATCAAAGAAAGAAGCAAAGCTGTATAAAAATGTTTTAACTATTTCACTAGCACTACAAACTTGAAAGAGTGTTACGAAGTGCTTCTATATGTTTAAAATCAGTAAAATATGTTAAAAATTGGATGGGATATGGCTTCGTGGAATCATGTTATTCCCATCAAATTACAAAAAATCTGGTATTGGTCTCAAATAAGGTCAAAGCAACAGTAATATTTTAATAAACTATATATATCATTCAATGGGTAACAGAATTAAGTTATTTAGCACCTCAAGTCGAATTTCATGGTATTTTTCAGGTTATTTAGTCAAAACTCGAGAATTCTTGAAATAGATTTTTTACTACGCTCGATTGTTAATACTTGTATTAAATAAATGCATCTCAAAGTAAATGCTTTCAAAAAATTGCTTGCTGTAAGACAAGCCTGAAATTTACTCTCCAAAGTGAAAAACAATTCTCCAAAAAGGTGAGTGAGATTTGACAAACAAAAACAAATCGGTATGCAAAATGACTGTCTCTATCAATAAAAATTTTTAAAATTCGAAAAAGCAACATTTGAGAATAATGGATTAACAAAAACGTTTCAGGATCTTCAATTCTAGCAATTAAACGAGCAGGTGTTCGTCTTTGTACATCCATTGAGTTCCTATTATTGCTGAACTTTTCCATTAAAGTCCTAATGTGGGAATACATACATGAGTGCTGGATATCGAATCAAATACTGAATATCAGCAGATTTCTCCACAGAATATAGATGTACATATATATGGTATGAAAATTGAAATTCAAAAAATATAATCTTACTAATCCTTAGGCTAATAAACTGCAAATTCGATCATATTTCTCTTTCAAATCCTTTAGTTGGTCATTTAGTTTTTCATTTGTTTCTTGCAAAGTTTCATCTGGGTATACAATCTAAAATAGATTAAGACAAATTTTGATTACAAGCAAGAATCGAATAAAAACAAAGAAACTCGTAATATGCAAGGCTAGTTCTTAGAAATCGCACGTGAAAATTGGCTGGCTGGTGGCTTGGGAAAAGTATTTCTAGTTTTGGCTTCCGCATCGTTTTCTTTTAAAAATCAATAATCGGCATATTCGCATTTTGCATTGAAAAACGACTATTAAGCAATAAAAAGCAATGACTTTGTTTACCTATTCCAAGCATTGACATTGTAAAGATTAAACAGAATGCTCTTATTATATATGAACTATTATATGAGCTTTATCAGTGATTATAAGCCAGAAGGCTTATGAACATCAAAATTCCTTTTTAAAAGAAGCTACTCATATAAATATAAGGCCAAAAAACAATGGCAAAAAGGAGGAACCTCTTCTTCATACCAAAAGACGAATAGATGCTACATACATAAGAGACAATGTATACTGTATATTCACCTCGCAACTAATGGGATTATAGGCTTATAAATACCGACTCAAATGATTATTGAATGGATTTTAAAAAAGCGTGTGGCATAAAGAAGCTCGCGCCAATGTGACCATCGACCTAACAACATGGATTTTTTGGTAATCTAAGCCACTTTTTACTGAGATAATTACTTCTTCAATTTTGGAGAAGACTGAAGAAATGATTTTTGAATGAAGCGGTGCAGAAAGGAGGCTTAACTAGCGATATTCGTCCCGTAACTAATGAGTTTTTTCTAATTGCAACGTCGACTCTGCTTAATAACAGCGTCAAAAAACAATATAAGCGAAACTAGGTCAGTTTCCAAACACGAATGTTAGATCAATCCAACTATTGAGACAGGTGCAGCAGAAAACCGACATTTTGGTTTACTGTATTGACATAAACACACCCAGTTCATTCCAACTGTGATACAAAACTCGAGTTTCAAAGCTGTTCTTCGAGGTTGCCCTGTTGGCAACATTTTCACTAACAATTTGATGAATAACGAACAAGCGATCTTGTCACGAAGTGCGTTTGCTCGCGCCACCATAAATAATTGAGGTTAAACCTCCCTAAAAGCTCTCAGCCTTTTTGAACCCTTTCGGTTGATGTCTAAATCTGATATAACGCTTTAATCAAACATCTGACAGAATCATAAGGACTATATTCCGACAAACTAAAAAAAAATTCTTAAAAATCTTTTCAGAAAACTGAAGCGTAACTTAAGCAAAAAGTTGAAACGATACTTACGGCATATCTTTTAAGAAAGTTTCCGACCGCCATTTTAGTCGATGAAATTATTTGCACGTCTCTGGCCTCTCCTTTCTCATGCTTTACAGTTTTAAACGTAGCTGAAAATTATATAAAAGGGAAAGGTAATAAATAAATTACGCCAATATATATGGTGAAAAGGTAAGGGCTCTATTTCGATAATATATACGTGGTATAAGCAGTACTCTATCCACAGTTACAAGTTAGAATTTTTCTTCATTATGAAATCACATTCGTTACAAATGTTAACGTAACTATTACTCGGAAGAGAATGTAAAAATAGGAGCATGGATATAAGGGTGTAGGACGTAGAAAACTCCGAATAACAAAAAAACAGCCATGTTGCTTCAGAACTGTAGAGCAATACAAACTAGCGGAACTAAGCAGAAATGGACTGAAATGCACAAAACGGAATGAAACAGAAGGAAATTGGCCGACGAGCAGAAATACTATGAACGAAAAACACCAGAACTAGGTCATAATCAACACTGGATATTACAGACACCGCATGCCAGTAGTTGTCTGGCCGTTTCAGCATGGAGCTTAAAATCATTGACTTCTGCTACTTACTTATGACGACCTACTTAGATAAATAACCAGTGAATTTTGGAGTCTCCAGCAGGAACAGTCGAAATAAAAATGACCCCAGCAAGGCACGAAGAGTACCGCGAAAGACAGCGGCAAAAATGTCAAGCGTATTAGAAAGTAAATGGAGACTGGAATTACACCTGCATATCCTATAGGAGCTTATGTGACGGAAATTTTAGGGATTTTGGAGAAATCAGCAGGCAAAATTGCTCAGATTTTAACTTTTTAAAGTCGGAGAGAACATGAGGGTTCAACAACGAACCATTCCAGATATTCTTCGGATGGAGCAGCAAATCTGTTTTCAGTAACATAAGATACAAGTTTTTTCTGCATAATATATTGCACAGGTCTCTTTTTGCGAAACTGGTTTCTAATCACCATAGTTTTCATTAACTATTTTTCATATTTACATATAAAATAATTGAACAGTCTCTCAAACCCATTACGTTTGCAATTACCTTCTCTACAATTATCCACTAACTTTATTTTCAGCTGCACTTAAACAGAACGAACTTGAAACAGAAGCCTACGTGAAATTCAAAATGTCTGGGCATCCTTTTAGGGTCCCGATCACACGGGAATGATTGTGTTTATTCCAACAGCGTTCTAAATTTTGGAACAATGCAAACATTTAGCCAAATGAGCAATCGTTTCATTTTTCAGACCAATTTACTTGCTCACACGGAGCGGATATGGTACCGTTCCACTTTTCGCATCATTCTAACGAACGTTCCAATTTTCGGAACGGAACCGTATGACTAAAAGGGTTACCGCGTGAACACGACCCCTGAGCGTTCCACTTTTTGAAACGAAACGATATGGAAAGGTACGCAATCGTTCCCGTGTGAACAAAGCTCTTAGGATATCACTTGAAAGACCCTTTTCAGGCTGAGATTTGGCCACGTCCCAGGGCAAAGTAATAATTGAAAAAGTTACTAAGGTGGAGGATTCCCATCTCTTTGCATAAAACTTGATAAAATAACGTGTTCTTTAAAATGACTTACTAATAATACATATAACAATGTTGTTTTCATTCTAGACGTATAATTCAAAGGGAAAAAATAAAAAACAATTTGAAATTCTTTCAGTCTAAAATATTTGTTTATAAACTTTATATTCTAGTTTGAAAAGTTGTTGCTTAAATCATGGGTTTGCATGCTGCCTTATGTTCTTATACAGAAATGTCTATGGAGGTAGAAAGAAGCATATCTTTCTCCATTCTGTTGTTTTGGTCATACTGTCGAAAATGAAAAGCAGATGTCACTGTGCATATGCTCACCATTAATAAGCTTGTTACTGATTTCAATCACGGCCTCAATTTTCGAAGCATCCTTCTCCCACGTGGCATTTTGCACAATACATCTGTTTGCTTTCAAATAAAAACTCAAAACCTAAAGAGTATGCAGCAAATTAGAAACAGGGAAGTAACTGGGAGCTTAAGATAAACAAACTAAAGCACAACTGGCAATAAACATATATGCACTAACATGTCAAAATACAAAGTGTTCAAACATTTGTATTTTTCATTGTAAATTGTCATCAGAGTTAATTTTACGTCAGGTTCTGTCTATTTAAACCATTTGCTTACGTCATTATAAAATTATTGATCATAAAGAGACTTTAGAGACTTACCTCCTGGTTGGGAATATTGTCATCTAATGAAGGTTTTGATTTATAAATTTAGGGTAGGACATGTGGTTTTATAGCCCTGTCTTCCATTGGCTAAACGCGGATGTCCAATGATTCAAAGAGAAACTCCCTCTTTGCTTGATTACATGTGAAAACAAAAGTACTTTTCCTTCTACTCCAGCTCTCACCCTCTTTATGTTCCCTACTTAAATATTCCATTCGTTTATCACTACTTCTTTTACATTTTCATGTACTTTATTGCTGAAATCAAACAAGCTTCTCGTACATCTAGGCATCTTACAAACTTAAGGCTTTTATGCTTGAAGATAAGGCTGTAAATCAGTTGATGGTGAGAAAATGGGCATTTCTTGTCGATTCCCTGCCACAAATCAAAAGCATTGGGATCATTCTAATAATTCTGGCTAATACATTCTTCCTTTATAACGTTTAAGGTAGGTTGAGCGACTGACACTGGTGTATCACCGACCCAGCTCCGCTCGCAGTCATGTGGAAACATAGCAATTGGACTTGATGTCTAAGGTCCTTTCTCTGCTTCAGAAAGGCTTTGTTCTACAATTTGTATTTGAAAATGGAATTCAATCGTAATAAAAATTACTGTCTTCCTGAACTTAATCAACAAGTACACAAGGCTAAACAGTTATTCAACAACAACAAAATTCCAGAAAGGCTGGAAATCAAATGCTTTGCCAATCATTCCTCTCATCAAAATTAAGTGGCAAAGGCGACAATACCTTTTCCCTATCGTCTGAACTGTCTCCCGCACTGCTTAAATCACCATAAAGTGCCCACACATTGGCATTATTTGTGATCTAAAAAAAACGAATCTGCAAATAAATCATACGTCCACACTAACCTTTCCAAGCTAAGTAAGTCCATACTTTCCTTGGTTCGTTTACATTACATTAATATCATAGAATTCTTCTTCTGTAGTATAAAAATAATATTGAATTGAATTGAACTGAAATTGAATTGAATGAAACACCGCACGACCATGCACTAAGCTACACTTACTACGATTTCCTTGTTTAGACTTACAAAACTTGAGCATCGGCTCAAAACGTTGTTAGTATTAGCAACAATCTGAAATGCTGAGGGGATGATAACATGCTCACTTCAAATTAAAAACAAAAATCTTTCAAGCAATTATGAAACTAGCTAAATATCATAGACAGCAGTCCTCGCATTCAAATTTAGCGTAGAAAGGAAAAAGGTGAATACCTCAGAAGTGATTCTTCCAAAAAGTTCCTTCAATTTACCAGTTAAAGAAGAAGCTAAAAATTAAACATTTCAGTATATTTTCGTCCAAAAGGCTCTAAAAGGATTTTTGGATGTAAGATTATATCACACTCAAAGAGTTAGATAGAATGTTTCACATCAGCTTGAACATAGACGATATTTTAAGAGACTGACAAGAAAGAAAAATATAAAAAATAAATTTAAAAAAGCAGCTGAAATTTTGCAAATTTGCTATGGTTTTTATGCTGGTTAAATTTACAAATCTTACAAATATCACTTGTTGGCAAATAACCCAAGGCCGGTGGTGTATAATTTTTCATGGTTTTGAAGGAGAAATAAGGGTTTAGATATTGTATGCCACCTGGTTAGAAACATAGATATGTAAAGCAGAAAATAAGCTAAGAACGAAGTTAGTATATTTTGCTCAAAAACTGTGACAATGAAAACATTACCATTATAGGCAACTGGTTCAGTATGACGCTAGGCCTAAGTTCGATATCATTTCGGAAGCTTCCGCAAATGTATTTTATGATATAGACATGTGGATCATATATAATAACAGCGATTAACTTTTGAGGTAAATATTTGCAGAGAAAAGTCAATCACCATGAAAGATTAGCATTTGGTATTAGGATTATATACCAGACTTATTCAGTTTATCCAGCATCTAATGGACAAAGCAGATATGAAACGGCGAGACTCAAAGAATCCGTACCAGAAACAAGACATATCAGAAGCCTATCATTTCTAAATTAACACTATACAGCTGCCAAATAAACTAACAATTTGATACCGGGGTATCATAGCTTCACAAGGAACTAAGTCATTGAGAACTGAGAAGTATTATCAAGTTAAAAAAACTAAACCTGGTTCGCCGTTGGCATCTTTGATATCCGACGTAACTGCACCAACTAAAATTCCTAGAACCTAAATAAAAAACCGTAACTGATTACAGATAAAATGTCAACTATTATGCTTGCTAACAATTTATAACATGAAACTCTGATAGCTCTTCGGCGACTCCAAACTACTACGTGTTTCGTTTGCTTTCGGGAGGGACTGAAATTTCGAAGCGGACCTGGTAACTTGATTAGGCCTTTACAAAATTGTGGAAAATATTGTCAGACATTCACAAGCATGTATTGTCAAAATTATTGTCATCTTGTCAAGCATGACATTGTCAAAATTATTGTCATAGTAAAAAATCATTGTCATGTCAACAACCATGTCATTGTCAACATCACTGTAATAAATTCAAGCACGAAAAATTCCATTTTCACAAACACAGCATTTTGAAAATTATTGTCATGTTCACAAGCATGGTATTTTCAAAATCACTGTCATTTTCACAGGCATGGCATGGTCAAAACCTTTACCAAAAATGTTGATAAAGTTATGTAACCTTTATTGAAAACGAAATAGATTTATCAGGCAGCTTTCAATGCCGTTCAACGTGTCAAAATAATTTTACCTCAGTATCAATTTCTTTCCTTTTAAGGTCCAGCAAATTATGAAAACATCTTATTGTCTCTTTGAATTGACCAATATCGACAGAAACCTGAAATAATTAATTTCTTAACATTGCCGATCAGTTGGTTAAAGTTGAAGGAATTTTTGAATCGCAAATAAACCTACTATTAAGAAACTATATCTATCAGATGAAAATCATTACTATTAGAAAACAAGTACAATAAAAAAGAATTGCACAATAAATTAACATAAAATAACAGCCTTGAGAAATAAAGACATAATATTGATTAAATAGAAAAAACGAAAGTTAAAGAAGGCCTATTTGTTATCCTGACAAATATTTAACTTTTCATCTGTTGCCAAAAATTAGATGATTTACTTCAATTCTATAGCCTTTGTTAAAGCAGTGTAGTTAATGACTTTAAAAAAAATATGGCGAATATCGAGTAGAAACACGTTTGTAACATTAAATGTAGGCTTGAGGTATTTGCGTTTGGGAAGCAAGTGGATGAAAAATCTATAAGGTCCTTAATTAAAGTGCAGCTTAATTAAAGGTCAGAAATAACTAATCTTGTGCCTAATGAAGTGAGGAAAAAACCAATATTTTTGACAGTAATGTACAAAACATGTTTGAGAAGAAAAAACAGGATCTTCTGACTGAGTCAATACTTTACTTTGTAACGAAAGAAATAATAATCACGAGTCATTATGGCTTTTCCACCTTACCCAAAAACAAAAAAATATTTACCAAAAGAAAATTCTCCCATATTTGCCAACTGCTGTAATCTGCTTTTAAAGCTTCTTTTAGGGCTTTAAAAGCTCTATGTCTGTGAAGAGAAAAACCCGATAAAATGAGTCCTGCAAATACAAGCGAATTAATCTTTGTTGAATCCAACAAGCAAAAAATAATTCGCATTTCCTGGCTAGTATTAAGGGAAGCATAAGTACCCTAAATCCTGACATAAACTAGACTTATTACTTAACACAGGCTTACTAAGACTTTAATTAAAAAGCGAGTGAGGATTTTATTGCAAAGCACCTACATGGAGATTATTAATAGCGTGTGCATTCAGCTCAATAAGAAGCGCTATAAAGTGGAGGGAAACTGCGATTGACAACACGTCTGGCATTATATTCTGAACTATGAAAAATCTGCTATGCGCAAGAAAACGCTCCATATAACTAGAAAAATGTTCATTTGAAGCAGCTTTCCAACAGTTACTAAATGGCTCAACTTTATAAACTTTATATCGCCATCAGTTGGGGCGCACTTTGCTTCTCACAATAAGCTCGGAACAAACCAAAGAGCAAGCCAATGTCCAATAAACTAAATACATTCAAATGATACAATAAGGTTTCATTTCTAGTTTACATCCACATCTAGTTCCATTAACCTAAGCTACTACGGATTCAAGATGAATCACATTGGTTATTTAAGCTCAGGGAAGTCGTGGATAATTTTGAAAAGGGGAGACTGCAATCAAATTTTTAAATATGGTGATTGCCAAAAGATTGTGCATTGCTCCTTTTCTTATCTCTGAGATCCTTTTTGGTCCAGATTGCTGTGATGAGATAGAAGTCGATAGAAAAAGTTGGTTTTATATTACAACTCATATATTCAATCTAGTGATGATAATTATATATCAGTTATTATTCCAGATTGCGTTGTCTATTCTGACGTGACAGTGCTCGATGTGCAAAAGCACAGAGCAATAGATATAATAAAATAGAATATAGACTAGAAATGAGACATGTTCTCTGTTACTCCGAGTTTCGTGCTTGCGCACTCATCAGACAGATTATAGTCTGTCTGATGAGTGCGCAAGCACGAAACTCAGAGTAACAGAGAACATGTCTCATTTCTAGTCTATATTCCATTTTATTATATATATATCAGTCATTATATATTATATATTAATTTCCGTACATCAAAGGCATGCTACAATTTTAACTGACAATCACACAAATGCCCATAAGAAAATCATCGGCTAATCTCAATATCGATCGAACACAAACTTTGGTCAAATCCATTCGTTTACGTTCATTAAAAAAGAACATCATCTCCTTAATAACATTTTGAAGGCAAAAAGGAAAATAAAAAGAAGAAGTAGAAATGGAACTGGTCTGTTTTATTTTCGGGGGGTCTTACAAAATAATTCTCTTTCGGGTGTATCTCTAGACATGTTGACCGAGGGAGGCCCCGGGTACTAGGCGACAGTAAGATAAAATGTGATGACAATAGACATGTTTTGACATTAAAGAAGAACAAAGTTTTGAATTGAAATGAAGTAACAACAGCTCTGAAACATGCAAACAATCAACACCTGAAAGTGCAAATAAACTCTTCAAAGATAAACAAGCTTTAACAGTCTCCGGGAGAAAAGAGACTTACTTTTGTTTGGTTCGCACAAAAACATTTGCTAGATTGTTCCACGCCTCGTGATTCTGAAAGAGAAATGACGTCAATAGTTTGATAAAGCATTAAAAAAATGATAATGAATATCATATTGATTTACACAATTTAAGCAAAGAACAGAATTAAGTCATAGACTACGAGCCTGTAAAGCTTGGTTTCCACTATGGGTTAACGTGAGATAATTCTGAGCTAAATTGAAAATTAACTCATGGTCTAAATTCAAGTTAACTTGAGATAGTGTGAAATAGCGTGAGATAACGCGAGCTATCTCAAAATTAACCCATGTACCGATTCGGTTTCCACTTGAGATAGAATTAAGTATTGAAATTTCAGAAATCACATTTTATTTGAGTCTTCCAGCTATGGCGGGCGTCTTACAAGAACAACTTATTTTACTTCTGCTTTTGAGAATACTTAGAAGGAAAATATTTTTTGCTAGAAGTGCCGTTCGCGATCTGCGCCAAGGTTTTCTGTACGGAGAGTCTACCAAAAAAAGATATGCGTTTGGTGAATACGACCACTTGCAAAAGGATCTTAGAAATGAGAAAATGTTTCTCTTATTTCACAATTAATTTTTTTAGTAAAGAAAACTGTTTTCAACATCTAAAGTAATACTCAGTGCAAGTGCGTTGCGTAAGAACCTCAGTGCAAATTATAGCACCTTCCCCTCCCACGCATCGGCTTCTTTTGATAAGATGTTATCTCAAGTTAACTCATGAGCTTGAAATCAAAAAATTTTGTTTCCAAGCTCATGAGATAACGTGAGTTAGCGTGAGTTAATTTTCATGAGATAATTTTTCATGAGCGTTTCCACTATGAGATAATTTTTAAACCAACTCGGATCACAAAATTATCTCAAATTAACTCACGTTAACTCATAGTGGAAACCAAGCTTAAGTACTGGAAAAGTCATTCTACTGTCGAGCTATGTAGGTGGGGAGATCTTAGGATTTCATCCAGATTCAATCATTGCGAACTTAGGCCTGGTTCAAACGTCGCACTTCTCATGTGCCGAACCCAATGATACAGAAGCGCCGAAGGCGCTAGATGTCTAACTCGGGTCATGCTGCTTACTGCCGAGTGAGGCAAATTTGTTTACTTCCGCCATTTTAAATAGTGACAAAAAGCGAGCTGCAATAGGGTTCAGTATGGAAAATTGCTTGTTTTAATGAATGATATTCTCGTGGCTCACAACTATTTCAGTGCCTTTTCTGATGCAGGTAGTTAGAGGAGAGTGGGTTTTTTAAACAGAATTTTGAAAAATATGGCTTTTTTAGTTTACGCAGTTACGGGGGGAATATAGCAGTGGCCTGTCGTGTTTTTATGAATTGAAAAAGTATGTGCTTGCCATTTTTTATCTTCATATAAATTAGAAAGAACTTTTTCAGTCTATTATCTAATAATATAAACGATTTTAAACATATAATTCTTGATTTTTTCTGTCTGTCGTTTAGAACCTAATATGGCATGAGTAGGAAAGTGCGAATGTTTTATATTTAGTTTATCAAATTGAATTTATAGAAAAACAAATTTGATATGAATCAAATTTCTTTTCTCTTGGTAAGGCCAAATTAGTAATCTTTGTCGTGAAAATGTACCCCGGAGGCATTTTATAGGCCTAAGGATGCAGAGAGGGACGCATTGTGCTGAAGAATAACTACAAGCAAAGAGTGTGGTTTTGAAATAGTCCAAAAATATCAATAATTATATAAAATAAAAAATTGGGCACTTTATTTAGATTCTGTTATTAATATCCAAGCATTGAATTATGACCTATTTTCGGCTTTTTCTAGAGTTAGGCCTAGATATTTCATAGCAGTTTCTGTAAACAAAGAAAGAAAAAGTAACTAAATCACATCTTTGTACAAATGTGTTAAAAAAATTATGCATTGGGTGGCTAAATATTGTTATTGGATCCGTTTTAAAACAGATCAGTCATTATTTTCTGGAATTTGGACGAGACCTAAAACACCACAGCAAGCACCGCGACTGTAAATGCTTAGATTTGCGAATGACGGCCTATTTTTCCAATATTAACATCAATTCATAAATTTAAGTGCAATATAAGGCCACTCACCAAATTTCACATCGATATTCGAAAGAGAAATGGACAAAATCAATCCTTACTTTTACCAAATTTATAAGGGCTCAGTATGGAGCAAGTTCCTTTTTGCCACTATTAAAAATGGCGGAAGTAAACAAATTTGCCTTAAGCGTACCCGTGAGTTAGACATCTAGCGCCTTCGGCGCTTCTATATCATTGGCCGAACCTAACTCTGGTTGGAGCGACATTTGAGCATGTTTAGCGCGACTCCCGTTTCAAACGTCGAACTTAATTATGTCGCGCCAAATGGGTTTTAGGATTGTTATGTAGTGACCATTGTCTAAACGTAATCATGTCCTCCATTGTGTCTCTGTCATTAACACTTTCCATTGTCTTCGTATCCACGTCTTAACGTTAATAACAACACATTTGTAGTCTGTTCCCTTGGTTTTATCATGTGTGATACGCCTACAACTATGTACATACCGTCAGCTTCAGTAAATTCATCAAGACGCAACGGGGCTCACCGCATTGATCCGTCCTTCTTGCCTCAGGTGCCGGCCCGTGTACTTCTGTCACCTTGCACGCCTCAAGTGTGTTGAAACTGGTAGACCATAAAACTCGCGCACATGCTCATCGCCAAACACACCAACAACCAAAGTGTCATATGAGAGCCAGAGACCACTTCGCATTCACTATCACGTCCAGCTACCTCAATACCGCAATGGATCGCGACACGGACGATGACCAGGACCTGGCTTAGGTTGCTAGCACTATCTGTCTTCTGATCACTTAGACGTCATTCTATTTGTTCAGCCCGTTGCTCAACGGTCAACCACTCCGCAATACATTCTCTGGTTTCATCACGTCCTACAACTGCCATCACCGCATTACGTCTTCAACGCGCCTACGCTGGCTCACAAACACGTCCTTTGGCTCGTTCCGCATGCACCCTGATTTAGTGTGTTCTGGTTTCTTACTTGTTTTCAACCCGTTCTTCGTGCAATGTTCTATAACTCCATCCTCAAATCAACGTGAAACCCCGCCTCCGCCAGCACCACATCCGACCGAACACCGTCGCTACACCCGTTCCGCTTCGCTGAAGTTTACACACACCAGAATCCGAAAATGCCATGGCTGCGTTAAACATAACTATCAGACACGCGGGAGCGCGGCGTCCCCTTCGGCAGCGACACCCATACGTAAAAGCTCGGTGTTTATTCACGCTAGTGAGTCGACAACATGTCCGCGCAAGAATATGTTGCTCAGCACATTCAAGGCAAACGACTCCGCTAGCACTCAACTCACCCACTCAGTGCCATCACCCGCCCTTGCAAGCACCAATAAGGTTCCCTGGTCACCTCTACTCAACTAAAATCCCTCGGCTCACATCGCATCGCGGACATCACAACATGCGTTCCTGGGCTCATCGCCTATCAGCGACCCACTTCGCGTGCACCCACAAAGCAAGCTAGGTTATCATTCAATACGTGAAAACCTACACAAGGCTTGCAATAGCATTCACGAACATCTCCAATTTCATCTGAACATTACGTCATAATCTATTCTTTGCCGGAACTTTTGATTAGTAGCTACTACATTTTCTTCCAACACATTCTTCCTATGCTATTACATCCATTTCAATACGCTATCTGCGTGCACCGTTCCTCTCCTGCTTCAGATTACGCTCTCCGCTGTAGGGGCGGGATAGCTCTGTATGTCACCATTGCTCTAAGACAATCGGTGTCATCGATTGTCTCCTCCCATTGTAGTCTGCCTCTAGTCATTACCAACATTGTCGCTCTACGTCTGTCGTTCGTGACTCACACGCGAACGTTAACTAGACACCATACAGAACACCAATTTACCGATTAGCGTCCCCTCCTCTGTTTATTATTCTGCGTATGCATCGGCAATCTGCACTAAATCTCGTATACTAGTTCAGGCATGTTTACAAAAACTATTTTTCCCATCAACCCGGGAACTAACCGCTCGATCCGCCAGCAAATTGACCTCGCTCTCGTACATTGACTCGCTCTCCGTGTTCTACTCGCGGCCCTACGGCACTCTAAACTACCGAGGATCATAAGACAGCGACTCAGCACTATTCGCGCCAGACATCATAAGCCCAAACAACTAATTTGTCAATATGAGGTGACACTTTTACCATCTGAAATAAACGCACGTTACCTATTTACGACCTTCACCCCATCTCCACGTCTATCGTTGGTTTTAGAAATATGAAGACGCCATAACCCTGCAAACGCCAGGAATCGTAGGCTGAGTTTATCCTCATATTTTGCCTTATGAGTACATAACTGTCTCAAAATAACGAATCTAAACATTTAATATACTGTATCATAATACTTGTATCTGAATTCATCCGTATCACCGAAAGATTCGCCTGATCGCATGGTCAAACTCTCCTCCGTGTCCGTGCTTCGGAGTCTCGTGAGAACATGCTCGCGGCCAGAGGAACTGTGCGACATCCAAGTTAAACTGCGCTTTTGACGACGCTACTCTGTGCTCATAGTCTCCTTCCGTCCGCCTCTCACCCTCAGCTTGCTATTGCTATGCTTACGAGAGGAGGATATGGCCTTCTCTGGCTCTCCTTTTGACTATACCTATGTTTGGGACTTCGCACTAGATTCTCTTGCCGAGTCACCGCTAGCACGCTGGGACTCCCCATAGCTCGCGCACGTTATCCCAAGTCACCTCGCCTGCAACTGGCCGATTGTCACCCCGGATAACTCAATTGCAATCTCACGAATTTATTCTGTGATTTTATTGTTGATTCTTGAATCAATCTAGCGCCGATCACTATCATCATATAACATGAGCGATCTTCTTGATGCTCCTCAGCCGATGCATCCCCTCGAGCCTTATACTTGTTTGCTGGGTTAACTGTGAGCAATCCTAAATGCGACATTACCGAATCCTTGCTTCCCCGCGGCTATTCCCTCAGATGAGAGCGTGTATATGCTT